ACAAAGACCTGCTCTCTTGGAGCCTATATAGACAAAGAATGGATTAAAATACATACACATATATACATACACACAATATATACCTATATGTATATTATATATATTATATGATATCAGGTAGTGATAAGGATCACAAAGAAAAACAAATCAGAGAAAGAGGATAAGCAAGGTAAGAGGAGAGGAAACTGTCAGGGGAAGGTCTCTCTGAGGAAACAATATATGTCACCAAGCCCAACCAGAGAGCTTGCCCACAGCATTTAGCATTTTACACTGAATTGTTGATGGAGAGAAATCAAAACAAAATATAAACTCAGAAAAAATCATGGACAATGTAGAAATCAGAAGAAAACATCTTAAACAATTTACCTAAAATTAATATCTACAGTAAAATGAGGAAGTATCATTTCAAAAATGTTTGAAAAGTTAAACAAAATGGACAAAATCTTAGAAAAATACAACCCATCAGAACTGACTCAAGAAGAAGTAAGAAGCGTGTACAATCTTAAAATCCTCCAAAAAAGGAAGCAGTTAAAGCAAATACACAAAGTAAATAGCAGGCCCAGATGGTTATACAGGTGACAAACAGCATATTATGCAGACTTTTCTTAGACACTGCAAGAAGGAACAGTAGCCAACTTATTCTTAAGCCAGCACAGTCCTGATACAGAAGTGAGGAAAAAAATACTATAAGAGAAGAACACAGCAGACCCATGTCACTCAAGAATCTAAATGTAATAATCCTAAATGAAACATTACACAAAAAATTCAATACTATCTGAAAAAAATCCAACAAATTTTGCTTTATACTAGGTATGCAAGGATTGTTCAATATTTTAAACTATACATGTAATTGATTAATATATTAACAGAGTAAATCATTTAATGACCTCAAGAGATGCAGAAAAAGCATGTGATAAAGTTAGATACCTATTCATGAAAAAAATTCTTTGTAAATTATGAATATAAGGAAACATAATTAACTCATAAAGAGAAACATTAAAGAAAACCTAAAATTTACATCACCCTAAGTGAGGAAACATTAGAAGTGTTCCATTTAATATGAGAAATGAGCTAAAGATTCTAACTACTACCATTTTTTTTAATGATTATTTTTGAGAGAGAGAGAAAGAGAGACACAGTGCGAGCATGGGAGGGGCAGAGAGAGAGGGAGACAGAATCTGAAACAGGCTCCAGGCTCCGAGCTGTCAGCACAGAGCCCGGTGTGGGGCTCGAACCATGGACTGTGAGATCATGACCTGAGATAAAGTTGGATGCTTAACTAACTGAGCCAACCAGGTGTCCCTAACTACCACCATTTTTGATTCTCAATATATTAAGGTCCTAACCCATACAATAAAAAAAAAAAAAAAAAACAGGAATGAGCAATGGAAAGCAATAAATGATAAACGAAGCTGCTCCTTTTGGATGATATTGTTTAAAAATCCAAAAGAATCTACAGACAACTTTATGATAAGTAACGGGAGGGCAGAAAAGTAATAGAAACAGTATAATGAAGTGGATGGATATAAGATTAGTATACAAAGTAAGCTGCATTTCTGTTCAGCAGCAAAACAATGAGAACTCATTATAAAAGAGAATTTAAAATATCAGAATGTCAAATATCTAGAAATAAATACTATGAAAGATGTATAACATCTCTACATGAAAAATTACAAAACCTTATTAAGAAATATTCAATAAGATCTAAATGAGGGAGAGAAAGGCCATGTTCATGGGTAGGGAGATTTAATATTCTAAAAATGCATTCTCGCCTGACTTGATCTATAGATTCAATGCAATTCGAGTCAAAATTCCAAGAGAGTATTTTGTTGAACTTGATTAGAGGATTTAAATTTATATGGAAGAATAAAAAGCAAGAAGAGTTAGCATATTTCTGAAGAAGAAGAGGAAAGAGACTTGCCTGTCCAGATATTAGGACTTATTTTGAGGTTACAATAATTAAGACTTTATGGTATTGGTGCAGGGATAGAAACACTAATGAAACAGAATGTATTCCCATTAATGTATAGTATATACAGAAGTGGTCTGTCGTCTCAGTGAGTAAAAGAAAGATTTTTTTAATAAACAGGATGGAAAAAATGGTCATGTAAATGGAAAGCGATGAAATTAGACATCTCCATAACCATATAAACTCCTGATTGATTACAGACTTTAAAAAAATCAACACTCTCAACTCTTGGAAGGAAATCTAGGTTAATGTCTTTTGAACCTTGGGGTAGATTTTTAATACAAGACACAGAAAACATGGACTATAAAAGTCTGATAAGAAAGAACTCTGGTCATTAAAGACACAGTGAGGAAGCAAAAAGACAGGCCACAACCTGGGAAAAGATATTTCTAATACATACAATATATTAAGGATTAGTATCATGACTATAAAATGTTGATAAAATCAGTTTTATTTTTATTTAAAAAAATTTTTTTAACGTTTATTTATTTTTGAGACAGAGAGAGACAGAGCATGAACGGGGGAGGGTCAGAGAGAGAGGGAGACACAGAATCTGAAACAGGCTCCAGGCTCTGAGCAGTCAGCACAGAGCCCGACGTGGGGCTCGAACTCACGGACCGCGAGATCATGACCTGAGCCAAAGTCGGACGCTTAACCGACTGAGCCACCCAGGCGTCCCATAAAATCAGTTTTAAAAAGCATAATGAATCCAACAGAAATTGGACATAAGACCCAAACAGACATTTCACAGAAGGGGAAACCAAGACGGCTAATAAACACAATGAAATACCATTTAATACCAATTCAATTAACAAAAATGTAAAAGAGATTGACAATATGGTGTTAGAAAGACTATGGATCCATAGGATCTCTGAAACATTGCTGGTCACAGTGTAACCACTTTGCAACCACTTTGGAGGACACCTTTGGCATTATCTTCTAGATATGAACATTCACGTGTTTTCCTAGTAATTCTGTTCTTAGGTGAACACCAAAGAGAAACTCTTGCACATGGACAGCAGGAGACATGTACAAGAGTGTTTATAAGCAGCACTGTTTATAAGAGCAAAACCTTTGAGACAAACTCAATGCCTATAATCAGAAGAGTGGCTGAATAAACTGTGATATATTCACACAGTGGAATATAATATAGCAGTCAAAACCATGGACTGGCAAAGGGAAAAATGGGGGCAATTTTCATTTCAAGACAAACACTAAAGTTTCTCAAGTAATCACAGTTTACTACATGGTTCAGTATAAATAATCTAAGATCTTCATAATGTAAACAGTGAACTGTTATTTGACCCCAAATTATGAGACATTTATAAAGGGAGGATGGGGGGAATACACAGATTTGTCTGTGGGAGGGCTGTAAAGGACGTGAATCACAATTTTCTATAGCTGGCAGTTGGTAGATGGTTGTTTAAAAGACTAAGAAAATAAGCATTTTACTTAGAGGTATACAGGTAAATTACCAAAAGAAACAGTCAAAGAGTTAAAAGTTATTGTTTCTGGAGAGTAGGACAAGATAGAGACAGATGGGACAGGTGACAGTTACTTTTATTTTGTGTTGTTATTATACACCTTGTATTTATTGTTAATTTTATTTTCAAAGCCATATATGCATGTGTGTGTGTGTGTGTGTGTGTGTGTGTGTGTGTGTGTGTGCATAACTTTGATTTTTAAAAACAAAAACCTTCCATTTGGGCCAGATGAATATGATTTTGCTGAGCAGAGAGATGGGGTTTCTAGAAGCAAACTCTTTGGTGCTCTGGGGAATATTAGAGAAAAGCTATAAAAGATCTACACATATGGTCAAATCTCCTCATTTTACAAAAATGAAGAAACGGAGGCATGGTAGAATGGAATTTGTTAAAGTCTCAAAATGAGAAACTGACCAGGACTAATCCTCAGGTCTGCAGGTCCCTAAGCCAGGGTTCCTCCTGCCACATCCTTACTAGGAGGGGAAAGACGTGCTTTCTGGCAAAGGGAAGGCTTACCTTCTGGCTCTGGAATGACACGGGAGAAAAGTGAGGGAACTCTAAGAGATCTGATAGGCACCCGGCTGAGGCTTAGAGGCTGTGACTGTGACTCTCGTCTCCATGTCTGAACCCACAGCAGTGACTCCTACATGCGCGTATGTGGGAGTGTGTGTGCTTTCTGATTTTTGCTGATTCAGATGAGTCCCTAAGGATCAGACTGAAGTACAAGGCTTACTGAAAGCCAAATAGAATAGATTTAAGCAGACATTAAAGTGTCTAATTCTGGACATCAGAGGAAGGAGAGTGGAAATCTGTTGGTTGAATAAATGAATGAACGTTATCATGTGTCTCCCACACCAGGCTTAACATGGCAAATACAGCCAGTATTTATCCAGGGAGCGATTCATATGCATATTAAAGTTTGGGAAGCTCTGGTCTACAGCCCTGTTTTCTGGGTACAATTAGAATTTTAATATATCCTAACTGGAATTAAAAGCTATGCAAATGACCAATGGTATCCTGAAATAAATTACAATAAATGAGCAATGATATCCTGAAATAAATTAAGATAAAGGAATAATGCCTGGAGGACAGGTTAAGCACTGCAATAAACATCAAACGATCAAAGTGGGAATTGTATTTCTCAGTTACCAGTATTCACTGCAATCAAATGTTTCAGAGAGGGGGGTGATGCTGGATGCTTCAGGACTGCTTAATGGAAAATCTGGTGGTCTGCCACACTTCTCTAAGTGACCAGCCAGCTTGATTAAAAGTGTGGCTTGATTCTCCCATCACAGAGAAAAATCAGAATTGTGTCTAGGACAAAAAATGAAATATAGAAATATGACCACAAGTGGCTGGGCGAAAACTAAAAAGCAAAAAACAAACCCAACAGGTGGGGAGGGGTCTGTTTAGAATCCAAATAAAGGTGGTAGTATTGTGGGGAAAAAAATACTCAAGGGTTTAAAAGGTATCTTTTATTAAACGTATAGTCGGATGACAAAACCCATTAGGTACATATCAGAAAATCAACTCAAAAGAACACTCACCGAGAGGAAAGGCTTGGCTTCCCACTTTTGCTACAGCTGGTATAAATTCCTGGGCCATCATCAAAGAAGCTTCCAAGTGCCAACTTCTGTCGGATAGATTCTCTCTCATTTTTCTGTGCCTAAAATTTCAAGAAAATAAAAAATGCTGATAAGTGGGCAGACACAGGACAACTATAGCCTAACTGCTAGGTTTCTTAGAACTGCAACCTTAGATGAAACATGAATAGGCCACAGCACAAGAGCGTTTGAATTATGAGGAGTTGAAATTAAACCAATCTTTCCTGGTTTCACCTCTGCAAGCAATTTCAGTTCTTCAGAGCCTTTCAGGATCACGGGTCTAGGAACTCACCATGCTGGTACAAAGTGATTCTCACCGGAACAGAACTAGATTATTTGGTGCTGTAATCCTTCTTCTTACCTGCTAGAGGAAAGTCGTGGAGGGCAAGCACTCTGTCCTAAATCAAATCACTTTTACCCCAAATGTGGCCTTTCCCCAGATCGTGTCTTCTTTTCTGTATATCGTCCCTTCGGCCCACTTTCTCTATTGCAAGAATATTAATTCATTCAGCCAATATGCACTGAGCCTCTACGAGATGGCAGGTGCTATGTTACAACGCAGAACACAGCCCAGGATGGGTGATCGCAGCCCCTGCCTGCATCCGGCTTATAGTCTTGATGGGGACTACTGCTTCTGTTCGAGAGCTACCCTTATCTCTCCAGGTCCAGAACACGAGCAACCCTAACAAAGGGCCTGGAATAGCTGGAGGATTCTAACTGGGCCCATCTGTTTCGCGTTTTGAAGAGAAGTCAGGTCGGTGTGCATAGGAAAAGGATGTGGGAAACTACACTACTGTGATAATTTGGATATGTTTACAACACTTGGCTTCCCATAAAAGTCCCATAAAAACTCACCATGCTGAACTTTTAAACCCTTTAAACAACAGGGGAGAAGATTAGAAATGATTTCCTTAGTTAAAAATAAAACAACTACAAAAACAAAGATAATGAGTTAGAAATCCTGGGGTGACAATGAGAACTTGGTTTTCTGTTCTGGGGCTGGCAGCAGGGCCGTCGGATGTTCTGAGCAGCAGGCTGACGACTCTAGTGAGCCAATGATATTACCAAATGCAGCTCACGTGACTGAGTGTGGCTGTGGAGGGCAAGATGGCCCTTGAACCTCCCAATGAGAGGTTCTGGAGCCACATCTGCTGCCACTGGTACCCAGAAGTTACATGTGAAAGCTCTGAGCTGTCACCTGAGCATCACTTCGTCAGTGATGAAACGCACACCCTGTTGGAAGGGTGGGCTGAAAATTGGCCTCATTTCACCCCCAAGTTAAGGCAGGGTACTATCGGTCAAGGCTGTTCTAAAATGGTGGTTGCTAGCCACATGTGGCCATTCACATTTCGATTAAAAATTAATTAATTAAAAGTTCAACTCCTCAGTCACGCTAGCTGCATTTCAAGAGCTCCACCGTCACAGGTGGCTACGGGGCACCATATTAAACAGAGCAGAATAAAATATTTGATAGCACAGTGCTGGCTAAGATAGTGGTTCTCTTTTTAAATTTTTTTTTTTTTAACGTTTTATTTATTTTTGAGACAGAGAGAGACAGAGCATGAACGGGGGAGGGGCTGAGAGAGAGGGAGACACAGAATCGGAAGCAGGCTCCAGGCTCTGAGCCATCAGCCCAGAGCCCGACGCGGGGCTCGAACTCACGGACCGCGAGATCGTGACCTG